CCAATTTGCTACTATTTCCGCTCTTTTACTTTTACTTGCCAAGTGAGAAAGCGATGTCCAATCCATGTGAAGAATCAGGTTCGCACACATCCAATCCTCATTCTTACCACCGCTTTAGACTGTATTATAACTGTATTAATCATTAATGGAACTCTAAACTTCACCTGATATCGATTTCTACCTCCATTACATCACTTCTAGGGTTTCATTTCTTGGTAAGTATGATCAATCACTGGTATATCTTGTTTTTCTTTTACAATTTGAATTTTCTTTATTGTTCCAGTAGCAATTCCCAAACTTACATTATTGATAGTATCTTTTTGTTGCATAATGATCTAACCTTCTATCTTCTGATATTTTTATTTTTTTTGAGTTTCAAGAGCTCAGTCTTAGAGATTTTGCAGGTGATATTTTGGGAACTGAGGCTTTAGCAATTTCCAAGATGTACGTAAGCCATAGGCCGAGCTTACAGGATTAGGAAATATTGATAATGGCTGAATATCCGGCTCTTTTATCCCCTGTCAAGCTGCATTCTCGTGGAAACGTTCTGGAAGGACGATCCTTTGTACCTAAAACTTTTGATGATTCTACACCAAGGTTTCATTTTTCTCGCTCCATCACCTATGATTTCATTTAGACTTTGTCAACAGTTCCTGTTTAATCATGATAATGAAATCAATTTTATGATTTCAGTAGCCGAGTATTGAATGAGAAATATATATTGAACCTTTAAATGGTGTCATAAATAATGTGATTAATTGTCTTAGGCAAGTGATTCTCTAGAAATGGGTCATTTGTACTATTTCTAGTTAAATATCATCAGTGACATTTTACCCCTTTCAGGAATCGCTATGGCAAAACTTGCAAATTTAACCAGTTCTCAGCACAGAATGCTTGGAAACTTATTGCTCCTCACTCGAGAATTCTTAATGTAATTCCACAACAGAAGACTTTTATGAGGTGTCGGTGCATTAGTGCTCTGGTGAATGCTGATGCTCCAATTACTTCTGACTGGGTTCCTGTAGTGGACCAAGTCTTGCTCTTAGTGAGTATAACCCTGACATACATGGCTGGTGTAATACCTGCTGAGAAGCTCCCTTATAATACTCAAACAAAAATCTCAGAAGTTAATGGGGTCCCTGAAAACTCTTCCTTTTCTGGTAGGTAAGAAAGGACCAGGTTAAAAAGCTTGTTTTAGTTTTGAAAATAACATATATACCTTATGATATACGTGATCTCTGATATCAAGATCTACATGATTTTTATCTTTTGCATGTATGAGATATTGTTCTTTAATTGCAGTGCCACAGCGAATTATAATGAGGTATATTTGGAGTTTGCCTGGGACATTGTGAAAGGCAAGCTTGTGGATTCCCTAAGTTTTATACAAAATGGGGTAAATGTAGGCGACAGGGTTGCTGAACTTGAAGAAGGCCATAAGAAACAGCCTTCAAGTTTGTGTGCTGTTGCTGAGGGTCCCAGGATGAGGTTGCTGTGGGCTACCTTTCAGTGGCTGAAGAACGAGGCAGGCACTGTCTTTCTTATCGCATTGGAATTATATCCAATACCTTTTGTATTGTTAGGGAGCAGAAATCCTTTTTTTTATCCCTTAATATTGATTTCGAGATCAGGGCCAATTTTGAAGAAATTGAGTCTAACCACTTCTCTACAAATCATATCGAAAAAAAAAAAAAAGGAAATGTTCAGAGGGTGTCTGTTGGGTTATATTCGAAAAACATAAGCTCAAATTACTTAAAGTACGTTTGGGAGTTGTTTATAATTGGTTTAAATTATAAATAAATAGAAATGAGTGATGGATTAGTGGGTTCACGAAATGAGTGGATAAAAGGTGGTTTGATAGAAATAAACATTTTAGAGTGTCTTCAAGAGACTCTTTATTTTTAAAGAGTATATTCTATAATTTGTAGAGCATCTATAAATTTGGAGAGTTAAAATTTTGAAATACTCCAACAAGCTCTTTGTATTTAACATTTGATTTTACTACTCCTAAAATATATTTATTATTTTTCTTTATATTTTATTT